GCAGATACAGATTTCTGACTACCCATGTGGAATGACCAGATCAGATACAGATACGGTAATTTGCTTAGGCACATTTTTGGCTTGCCAAACCATGGTACAATCTATGACCACGGTCGTACCAACCATAATGGCCCTATCAGATATTCTATAATCACGACAGTACTTAGCCAAAGGTGACTCCTAACAGATATTTACATCACCACTCTTGTCAGAGGATACATTGTCATCCACAAGGAGCGGTTCTCTTATGTCTTTCTAGACCAGATGGGAGAGGGGAAAACAGAAACCCCGAATGAGGTTAGGGGAACAAATACCTCTCACAAATAAAAAGCCTAACGAGACACTTGATGCATTATGCATGTCGATACAGATACATACTTCGGACCGTTCATGTTTCATTCCACCTTTTTTTTTTCTTTTTTTTCTAGCTAATCTTACCGATTTTGTATTATTTTAATTACATGCAAATTATCAAGTGTTTATAAATCACATAGCATGCTTGAAATCAAGAACAATTCAATTTATTAAACCTATAAACACAAAAGTATGCAAAAACAGGCAAGATCACAAATTATCAATTTAATCTTTTCTTATTATCTAAAAATACCCCTTAAGAAGTTTAAAAAAATATTAAATTTCTTACCAAAACTTTGATAATTTCTTCTATATCATTCTTCTTTTCTTCCTCTCCCTCTTTCTCTATATCACTTTCTCTCTCTTTCTCTAATTCTTGAAAAGTGAAAAAATGGAAGTGTGGAGAAAATGGGAAGGAATGGTCTCTATTTATAGAAATTGGGAGCCGTTGGATTTGCGTCAAGTGGTGAAATCCGGTGAAGAGAGAAAAAGATGTTCGGCATAAAAAACAGAGGAGGAAAACCTCCACCGGCGGTGGCAGCGGGCTACCCAAGGTGGGCGGCGGCACACTGTCTAAAGCGGTAGTGGACTCCCCGCTCGGCGCACTACAAGCTAGCCTGCAGGTGCACAGCCCACCCTACCGCGTGTGCTAGGTGCCGTGCCAGGCCCCAGGCGCACAGAGGCCTATCAGCGCAGACCTGCTGCGTGGATGACACGCACACAATGTGCGACGCCTGTACATGACAAGATGTGCGCAGGGTTGACACCTGCGTGCCTAGATGGGTCATGCACATTGTGCACACGAGCGCCCGTGCAGATAACCCTTTCCTGTAGGATTTTTTCTCCCGTTTTTTCATTTTTTTGAAATTTTTTTTTAAAATAAATAATTAGACTAAAATAAAATAAAATAAACTAAAATTAAAATAAATAAAAATCAGTATAATTCACAAATTACAATAATAATT